TTCATAAAAACTGTCAAACGTCAGTCAGATATTGGGTGAGATTTGAATTACCACGGGTGGTGTTGAGAATGAGATCCGCTGAGTTTTTCAAGACCCGATTGAAATTCTCGGGTTTTGTTGAGGAACAAGAAGGGAGCTTTGAAATGAAGTAATCAAGATAATCGAATGGAGTGATTGATCGTAATCTCCAATTGAGATTGGCCATGACCCGAAGCTCCATTTTTTGAATGTTTTTGGGCTCGAATATGAACCCAGGTTCAAGTATTTGAAGGTCTAGTAACAATGGCACGTCGGGTTCTTCCATTTTCGCTGCTAAAGACAAGCATGCCACTGATAGTAGCTGAAACGGCCACCCATTTTCCTGTTTCAATTAAGAAAACCCGAGCTTTAGATCAATAAGATATTAAAAATCACTCTTCTGTGTAATGCGTGAATTCACTTTCCCGCGAAATCTGCTATTTAAAAGGGAAAGTTGAAAAATGGGATATTTTTAAGATAAATATGGAATGTTCCTGGAAAATCCGATATTTTCTCGGGCGAGAATGGAGTTTAGCAGGGAAAGAAAAAAAGGGAGGGCGATTTATTATTTATTCACCGGAAGAGAATAAGAGGAAAGAAAACGGTCGAAGTAATTGACGGAGAGTAACGCCGTTAATGGCCTGAACTCGTAGTGTGCATACACCTGCATTGCCAAAGCAATAGATATCACCACCACATCAATACATACACACGTGTAGACACATAAGTATCTATACACCTGTAGGTACCTTGAGGATCCAGTTGATGGAATCTTGGCGAGCCGTGATGTCAATGGAGCGGTGACGGCAACGATGGAGATAATCCGACAAGGGCATGAAGTGAGATTCAGAGTCAATCATTTTGGTGATGGTATTCTCATCGGATGGTGGCGAAAGGATGATGGATGGTGATGGTGGCGGGAATTGAGGGTGGCTAGAGATCCACGTGTCGGCGTCCTGTTGGACCACCTCACTGCCATCTTCCCCACGGTCCAGGCTGTTAAGTGCAGAGGCAGAGTGGTCCGGTAAGTGGGAGTGGGAGTGGGAGTGAGACATAGTGAGGGTGGGAATGGGTGGTTAATGGCAGGACAACGGCATTGGTAGCGGCTGAAAGAGGGAGGAAGAGAGTGTTGGCGGTGTTTGGTGGTGGCTGTCTGGTTTTGGACATGGCTTGGTTATGGGTCTTCTGGGGATAACATGTTTCGGGTGGATGTTGTTGTTGTGGGCGTCTCTCCCTTCCTCTCTTTATGGGTTTTATTTTTTTGTTTGTGTCTGGCTCTCCAGAGCTTTGAATAATGGAGGAGAGAGGGTGCGTGGGTCGAGGGACGGGAAATGGAGAGGGGCGTGCCGTGTATTGATCTTTTCACGTGGGTTTATGAATGGTGATTTTGTTTTGACCAAAATCAATAAATGGAGAGCTTTTTGCTACGTATGGTTTACTTTCCCTTTTAATCTCGCAATTATTGTAAAGCTTCCACCCATTGCAATTGCTTTCCACCTTCAAAATTATTAAATTAATATTTTTTTATGTGTTTTTTTCCATATATAATGCAAAGAATAAATGAAAATCTTAAAAGAATATTTTAATATATTTTTAATAAATTTACTTTCCCTTCATTTGTGTGTTGAACCTACCTCCATTGCCTGTTACGGGCACCAGAGCATTTCTATTTGGTAGCATGAAGTAAATAGAAACTATGCTATCATGTGCATAAATGCATGTAAAGAGAGAAACCAAGGGTGCGCTGAATCTAGGCGCACTGCGAGTAGACAGATCCCTTTGGAGAATTAACTCTACACAACACACGATTTGACTGTGAGATATAAAATTAAGCCCCAGAGAGAATTGTTGTTTGATGGATCGACATGTTAAATGTTTTGTGCTCAAATTAAGACGAGGGTCAGCCTCCTCTTTGAGATGGATCTTCGCCGCGGTTAAAATTATATTTGATTGTTTTTTTAAAAAATATGTTTAATTTTCAAAATATTAAATTTATATTTTTTTCATCTTATACCGTAATACATCATCAAACACAAAACTAGATGCGAACCTTGTACAATTTATAAAGTTTGTTTGGCAGTATAATTATAATTATTTTAAAAAAATTAATATTAAAATATATATTAATAATATTCATTTATTTTTAAAAAATTATTTTTAATATTAACATATTAAAATAATTTGAAAACACTCAAAACATATTAATTTAAAATTAATCAAAAAATTTAAATTTTTTTCAAAAATATTTCTAAAACACATTAACATATTAAAATAATTTGAAAACACTTCAAACATATTAATTTAAAATTAATCATTTTTAATATTCATATATTAAAATAATTTGAAAACACTCAAAACATATTAATTTAAAATCAATAAAAAAATTTAAATTTTTTTCAAAAATATTTCTAAAACACAAAAATAAATAAAACTGCCTTTCAATTATTACAAATTTAAATTATTTTAAAATTATAAAATTTTATATGATTATTAATTTGAGAATTTGTATGATTAATCAAAATAAATATAAATTGATATAAATATTTATATTAATAATAAAAATTTTTTTTTAAAAAAAAGATAGAAATCTTTCGGATGACAAATAAGATATCAAAGTGTTTCGGACCAAACAAGAGAGCTCAAATTTTACAAACATGTCACCGCTGATGATCAATATCAATACACAGGGAGTTGTTGACTTTTTATGCTATCTGTAAGGCCCCTACAGGATGAAGACATTTTGAGGGACCCCGCTCACAGTCAAGCCCATGTGTTCCGTACACTTTGTATACGGGAACTAGGGTTGATGTATCGTGTATTTGGCTGACAAATACCATCGTACCGAAGCGCAGGCTCACCGCATTATTGACCTTCGAAATCTGCAACTGTTGCAGCATGGTTTCATTCTCTCCGAACCATGCTTTCCTTTTCTTTTGTCTTTTTCCATGAAGCGGGGCGGATGGACAATGCAAGGTGCCTCTACTTGCACAGAGCCTGATGGCATTTCTCAAATTTTGAATCTTTTTATGTTTTTAAATCATGCTAACAATGTAAAAAAAAAATAATAATCTGGGAAGGAAGCTGAATTTACAGAGGAGTTTGCATATCTTTGGTCGAAATTTAAGTGGCCTAATTTCCGTAGTAGCAGATTTTACTCCGAATGACTTGACAGCTTCAGCTTCTCTTTTGTTACCTAAATGGAGCGCTAAACAAATAACCTTTTATGCCACCTTATTGCTCAGCGTTTGCACGCCATTTATGGTTTTGTGCCTTAATAAATCAAGGACACGGCTCACCGTGTGATGTGATGTGATATGACCTTGATTTTCTTTTTAGTTTTTTGCCCATGACATTATTTTGATTTAACCCACGCTCATATGCTTCTCGCTCGAGTCTCTGTGGGTTTTAGCATGAAATATGGTCGGTACTGTAGTGGATATTATAATTATAATTGTAATTAGATTAGAAAAATATATATTTGATAAAATTTATAATTAAAATTAAAATTGAATAAAAAATAGTTTAATATATTTAATTAAAAAAATATTTTTAAAATTAATATTATAAAATAATTAATATATATATATATTAATAATTTTTAATTTAAATATTGTAGATTTAACTATTATTATTACATCATAAAATAAATAATATTGATATCAAATATTTTTATTATTCCATGTGTAACTTCATCACGTACAAAATCTATTCAACAAAGACTATATTTTTCATGATTTTTTAAACGCACAACAATAAAAACTAAATTTCTTTTACTTATCAAACAATTTACTTTTAATTTTTTAAATAAAATATAATTAAAAAAAAATAAAAACTGAATTTTTTAAAATTGGATCGGATCCGACAAAAACATAATTGAGATTACATTCTGTAAATATTATGTCATCAAACAATTTTTTAATTTATATAATATCATTAAATAATATTAAATATTAGTTTTTCAAATAAAATATTTTTTAAAAAATATTTTTTTAATATAAATAAATATAATCATATTCACATGAATACTACCAAGTGAAATGTGAATTTAATTCATCTAGACACTTTAAACTCTTAAAATATTTTTTTAATATAAATAAATATATCATATCACTATTCACATGAATACTACCAAGTGAAATTCGAATTTAATTCATCTAGACACTTTAACCTCCTGGAGTGAACAATCTCCAGGTAAATTATATTACTCACCTGATTTGCATTTCAATATATATGTTACTAGATACTTACACAACAAGTTTAAAAACAGAAATTACCGCATAAACAAACACCATCGTGCATATAACACACATAACACAGTTAGAATTTATGTTCGGCTTCTTCTCTTCTTATTTTTTTAATGTATTTTTAAGTTAAAATCAATTTCAAAAACAAACTTTACATGTACAAAAAGTACTCATGTTTACACGATGGGTCCCTGCATTCACAGTGAACTGAAAGGTACACCAAAGGTCGCCAAAACCCCATCAGTTCATTTGTGAAAAAGTACTCTGAGGTTGCAATCATACGGAATGGGAATGCAATTTTTTATGGGTTTGTCACAAATATAATTGAACCCTCGGCTGCTAAACATCCAGGATCACATGCCAACACTCTGAACCTTCCATGAATCGAGGCATTCTGGCAATCAAACTGTCAGGCAAGGACTAATGAATGAGAAGGAAAGACAGCTAGAAGGAATCAGAAATTCCCGTTCAACATGATGGAGCATGGGCCAAACTGATTTCAACACAAAAACTTCAATCTCCGAATTCAACCATGTTTTCTTGCCGAAGTGACACTCAAAAAGGCCTTAGACTTGGGAGTTCTGCACTCCTGTTCCAATACTTCATGTTACTTCTGTTCAACGGGAATGGGGTCCAGCAGATGACCAGGGAAGAAGGGCTTCGAGATTTTAGTCAGTATTCACTCCTTGAATCGTTTCAGAAAATCGTGAAAAGTCCTCCTGAGAGGATGATGCGATATGGAAGATAAACTTTTTGTCACGTTTAAAGGTGTGGCCATGGCCAAGACACATAGCTTTGCCAATATGTACTCCACAATACACAGCAAAAAGAACAAAAAAGAGCATCTGATTGAGACTAAATTCTATTTCATACACCTTCAAAAGTGATTTTTGAGAAATTACAACAACAGCTCTCACACAAAGCTACATAAAAACCCGCTGTAAAAGAATTTAGCTGTGGCGAATTACATTCTAACATCTGTAGGAAAAAGGGATGTTAGGTTCATCCAAATAAAATAAAAAGAAAAGGAATCCTTGGCAATCACAAAGCATGACAGATTCTTATTCTCACAAAAGAAGCGAGATAAAAAGGTTCATCACAAGCTAAAATAAAAAAAATATGACATGCATTATCTTCGAGAATGCTTAATAAAGCTACCATCAATTTCTTATAAAGGCACATGAATTAGGTTCACTTTGTTACTTGTTTATCGTGAATAAAATTCCATCTGCAGTAATTTTTTCAAAGATCATTACTGTTTGCATTTAATATTTATAAATAATATTGCAATTACAAGTTTAGACTACCAAGTTGGTGTGTCTGGCTCAACTATTCCTATACAATGTAATTCTCATTTTGATATATAATATAGTTGCCCTAACAATGAAATACTAGGAGTGCAACAAATTCAGAATTTTGTTTATTTTCACTTCTTTTCAGTCGTTGATGGCAAGGAAATGCTCCAAAATTAGAATGAAGGGAAAAACCTGTTAAGGTTCCAAGGTAGTGTATAGAACTCATCACTCCTGGTGTCTTGACTAAAATATCTGAAGCTCTCCCACCAATGCCCGCCACTGTCTCGGCGGGTTCCCCCCCCCACCCCCCGCCACTGTCTCGGCGGGTTGTGCTGTGTGCCAGACTGTGAGTGCAGTCCAAGAAACAAGCAATTAAAATTGCCACTGTTGGTGGAGAGGAGAAGACCACTTGCATTATGTTGTTGAGCTGAAGAAATCAGAACTTCATCAAAATACAAATCTCTTAATAAATTTATTGAACAACGATTATGCTATAAGATCAGATGCAATTCAAACATACGTGTAACCAGGTGACACCAGTGTGGACAGGGCCTCGACCAGAAACCCAAAGGTATTCATTGAAGTACTGTGGCACAGGAAGGCCCAAGAAGAGAGAAAAGCCAAGGATGAACTTTATTCTGAAGCTATTGAGGTTGCAGAACTGGAGAAATCCCAGACCAGCAGAAGCTGCTTCTCCAACAAACATATCAGAGTCAAAAGTCGATTAAAATGGTTACCTTAAAGGGAAGTTGACAGTAGAAAAATGGAGCATAACTAAGAGCTATTACAAAACAAATCGATCCCTATTGATCTTTATATACCAAGTTCAAAAACAAGTATAGAATACATCGATTCTTGTTTGATCTTTATTTTCCATGTGAAAGTTCTCGCTAAGTCAACCCTTCCTCTTTGCACCATGAACATACCACCATATTTTGGCTCCAACCAGTGAGCTATTATGCGAGCTTGCAAAAAAGTGCCAGTTAGTGACAGCATGTTTAGGATCAATCTTCCTAACCAACAGACAGAAAGATGAAAAATCTCATAGAAACTAAATTCATTTTCACCTGTCACTCACTATTTCATTTACCACAGCAATTCCTATCTGTTCAGTTTATGAAGTTGAGTCTTGAATTAGGAATGCTATATGGTTTCTACAAAAACTACAGTAGAAAGGTATACACTGACTAGTAAGAGCAGACGGCCTAACTATTGTGGTGACTACGGACTTTTCTCCAGCATCTTCTTGTAATCAGCTGGCAGTACCGTGTTAGTAACGTTAATTCACATAGAACACTTTGACTGAGTTATGTGACTTCCAGTAGTCTTTAGTGTTTTAATCTTCATCGTTAACATTTCTATTGTAGAATCAGGCAAACTGTCCCACTGAACATCATTTTGCTCTTGGTAAAATTGATTGCTAATTTTGATCCAGCCATAAAAAACATAGAAAAGTTATATATACCTGCATAGGCACAGAGGACACAGTAAAGAGCTGCCACAATTGGCAATGGTATAGGAAGCAAGAACAGTCCTGAATTTTCCTGTTAAAGATAAGTTGCAACAGTGTAAGAACAATTATGAGTGAACAATGCAATGATGGTGCCAGATTTCTATTCGCAAAATTGATAAATACTTCAAGTTGAAATGATAGGAAAAAGATAAGGCGCCTTTTTAAAAGGACAGTGGTCAATAATCATGACAGGACAAAAAGAGAATCTAAAACATTGATTGCCATGATAATAAATAAAAAGAAAATAAAAGATTGCAATGTGGAATACTGCACTTAACACAGAAAAGAAAAGCATGAAGCCCGCTGATATTTGAACAACTCTCCGACCTGCATTTTCACTGTAAGCATAACAGAGCAAAATTAGATTACTGAATTCGTAGGAGAGAACACTAGCATTATGACATCCATCAATTCATCACACCCAACAACAACGATATTTTACATCTATGCATAAATAGAGCATCTTAAACAAGCAACATAATAGCTTGCAAATCCACATATGGACTGTAAAATCAAGATCCTTAGCTCTAATTTATCCAACCAATGCCAGCTTTCCTTAATTTTTTTCTCTAATAGTACCAAACAACAAATTTTACAACAGCAACCATGGAATTCTACCAGATGGGTCGTATACCTGAAAGTAGGTTAAGCATTTTGCATATAGATTATGAATGCGGTAAACTCTAGTCAAATGAAGGTCAGATTATCATCACATTCTCATTGAACAATCCACCCTTCAAAAAAAAAAAACAACAACAACAACTTTGAAAATTTTAATTTTTTTTACACTGAAGCAGTGGATCCATTTCCGGGGTATTAGTTAAGTTAGAAAAAGTTTTGTGTCCAGAAACAACAAATAGAACATAAAAGGTCTGAAAAAATATATAATGAGACACCAATCAGTTATGTCCTACCAGCCATCCAATACCACGGCTGAGTACTGAAGGAGGCAGAGGAGTGGCACTCCCATATCTTGATACTGCAATAATTGTACCAGTAGACTGCAGAAAAGTAAAATAACATTAACAGCATTGATCAAATAAGTGGAGTGCTTGTTAGGGAACTTTCAACAAAAAGAATTATAAAAGAACAGGAAATGGGGACTCAGAATTCAAGCAATTCATGATAGGGTTCAACTATTCATCCACATATAAATTCTCACAAAAGAAAGTTAATTAGTCCATCTTCTATCTGACAATTTTCATACACCAAGCATTAAAGTTATTTAAAGAACAAGCATCCAGAAATATGATACTGGTGAAATCCTCACTATCAGTGAACTTAAATTGGGCAAACCATTGTATTCGGCATATATAAAAGGAGTTCAGAAGGGAATTATGTTGATAGATCGTACCTCAACTATAGCAACAAAACAAGCAGCCATCATCGCAAAAACATCGCCAGCATCAAAAGTAGGACATCCCCATTGAAATGCATATGGAACCTTTATCCTGAATATTAATAATTCATCCTGTGAATTTATATGTTACGGTCTAAAAGGAATTAAATGATTCGAGGTTTCTATAGTAGATCAAAGCTCACCAAGGAGCAGCACCAATGAGCCCAGAACAATCAACACGACAGCTAAGTTGTGTGTCTGGATGCTTATTATTATATGCACCGGCCACAGTAAAAACTGCTGGCATATGCCCATACAACTGCAACAGCAAACAGAACTGCAAACCAACTGCATATGGTGCTTCTTGATTTCATCATGTGAGGAACAAACTGCAATATTGCTTATTGTGTAAGAAAAGAAATAAAAAACTCAAAGATATCAGGTAAAATTATTCGAAAACTCAAAAAACCAAAAGCAGAAAAGAATAATAATAAAGAAAAAGGTAACTCTCTCTAACTTGTATCCAATTAGAGCTCATAATTGGGTGGAAAAAAGGTCCTTGCATTCTCAAATTTAATATACTAGTTCATGATATCCAAGGTACACCATCTAAAGAGAGAATAGTGAGGACACAAGGTCATTGCCTAGGAACCGGAAACCAACCCTGCTCCTTTATTTACCTAATAAAACACTTGGCTACTGAATTATTTTTGTAGTCCACCTTCAATTTCTGTTAATAAGCCAATTGAACTAGATGAAGAAACCAAATTTATTGAAAGAGACGATGCCTCTTGCTAATGATCTCTTCTGCCAACTAGGAATATGAACATAAATATCAATTAAGATCCTCTTGAGGCTCTGATCTTACAGGTATGTTTTCAATTAAAAAAAAACAGTGAAATCTTTTAATCAACGATACAAGAAAATAATTGAGGATGTTGATCACCTGAGATATGAAGACAACAATGAGTGCCAGGATTCCAATTCCAACACATTTTGCCAGCTACAATCATCAACAAAGAGAAGCATATTAAACAAAACTTGATACCCAAATGGAAGAAAAAGCAGCACCAACACATGTAGTTTCATTGACAGCTGTTCCATCTATAACATCACTAGCTTAATAGATCAAGCCTACTAGACTGTGCAAAGCTTGAACGGCCATCTATTCAAACTAGATTATCTTGAGGCAACTGACTAAAGACATGGAACACCGGTTTTTCTATGGACCTGCTATACTCTCTCCAGTTGGCAATTGTAGGAACAGAGGCAAGAATGGTCAGGAAAGCTATTGGGAAATGCACAAAGGAAGAGAGACGTTTAAAACATGAATAAGGAAGTTGTTATCCAAAAATATCAGAGGTATGAACTCAGGGAACAAAGACAAAAAAATCCTGCTTCCAATGAAGTTTTCCCTTAATTATTAAGAAATCACACAAGTATGACGACCAACAAGTTTTGCTTCTCTCAGCAAACATAATGGGCTTTGTATATTATTTTGAAGCACATGCATCTCCAATAGAAGAGGTTTAGAGCTTGAGATTTTATTGATCACTGCATGCATTTCCCCAGCAAAACTAGTAGAATTGGGTGTTCGGCATTCTTACTTGTGGGAATTCATGTGAATAGAGCCCAAGTCCGGTAAGAATCACATGAGGTATTGCAGCAACAGGGCTGAGAAATCTGCATCACGTAGCATGAAGATCAAGCTTCCTTAAGCAAGTGAATGGTGCATTAAGTCATCCCAAATACACTTACATAATATCGTAGCCTCATACCTTGCAAAAGGTCTCCAGAATCCAAAGAAACCAATGTTCCTTGTACAGCTTTCATGGTTAGCTTAAACCTCAAAAAAAAAAAAAAAAAAAAAAACCACAAATGTGATAGAAATATGATAGTCAATTCTAACTCTTTAACTCTCCTCGTGCACTTTCCAAAAATAACGGGTAATTTTAAGCATTTCCTTGCATATTCTCCAAGAAACAAACACGGGCATAAAATTTGAGAATGGCATTTACAAAGTAAGGGAGGGAACTAAACTTAACCTGACGTGGAGTAAGAAATATGACATTAGTGCTATTGTTAGTAGATAAAGAAATGGTTATTGTGGGGATGATAAAAGCATAGGATCCTCCAATGACCACAGGAAGCCGAGTGCCGAACCATGTCTGCAATAGAGTGTTTATACCCGCAACAAAGAGCGGCGTGTTAATCATCTCAGCCTTCTCCACCTACCAAAATAGAAATATCCAGCTAGAAGGAAATTATAGAAACACAAACTTGAAATTAAAATCAAAATCTGTTAATCACATATATGGTTTGTACATTGCCACGGCTAATCAAAAGAACGAATATGGAAGGAATGATCGCAGTAGTCCCGAGCATCACTAGGTAATGCTGAAAACCTAGTAGTATTGCTTCAGCTGCATTCAATCGAACAAGTTTTTAGAAAAATTGATTTACTGCACTAAAATTTAGCATTGGCTATACCATAATCACAATCCAGTACTGAACTTTAAATAAATGTAAGTATTTAAATCTTAATTTTGTCAGGTGAGGGGGGGGGGGGGGGGTTCATCAATGGTGAAGTCAAGAGAATGTGGTAATCAATAGCAAAAGCAGGCATGAAAACGAAGAGTAGTCGAAGGAAGAAAAGGAAGGAGAAGACAACAGAGTTTCCATAATGTAATGCATTCAAACTTAAAAGCAAAGCAAAGGAGTAATTATTACGCCAAGAAGGAGAGCTGGAGACACAAATCAACGCCAGGGAGCTGGTCTTTGACGGGAAATGGTGCGAACACACCAACTTTAGCAGCGCCTCCAACTGCCGTTGTTTCTTTCTCTGTTTTCCTTGATGTTAAATGGCAGAAACAAGCAACATGGATGAGAATTGGAGGCAGTATTAGGGGAGGCAGTTAGGCAGTCATTGATCTGACTAAATGCATTAACTTTTTTTTTTCTTACATATATCCTTTCTTTTCAGTTTCTAGGATTTTTGCTTGTTGGAATTTGAGAGATTTGATTCTTGCATGAAAGGAAAGCTATCGACTGCGGCAGATTGACAGTGACCGGCATCTACTGTCTGCCTGTTAAGAAAATGATAGTTTTACCTCTTGTGGGATAGAAATGAATATACTGTTTAAGGTTTGTTAATGGCGGATGGGTGGCCACATTAATCCCAAAGTATTTAAACCTCGCCTGCTACTGGGTTATCTGCGTCGATTTTAATTTTTTTATATAAATTAAAATGATATTATTTTAGTTAAAATAAATAAATAATCAATGATTTATAATTAGATTTTTTATCAGATTTTATTGGATTAACCAGCAAAGTTTATAGGTCACCCAGATTTTTAAATTTTTTTTTATTTTTTTAAACTTGGCCCAGTTTCTATACTGGATCCTCGATTGATGCACCAGATCAAACTTAATTTTAAAACTGTGATTAAACCTATTATAGGTTTTTATTCTTATTTTTTTATTTTCAAAACTTAAAATTTAATTTGGATAAAAAATATATTAAAATAATATTTTTTTGTTTTTTAAAATTTAATGTTGATATTAATATATTAAAATAATTTAAATATATTAATTTTTTTATATATATTAAAATAATTTAAATATATTAATTGTTTTATAAAATAAAATAAAAAATAAAAA